TTTTATAATGTTTGTGCATGCCAGTGAAAAATGAAGTTTTCGTGTCTCTTCCTTGATGGGACAACTGAGATACTGAAGTTACATAATATTTGTGATTTTCTTTCATAGCTGCATTGCCCTTGACACGTTGAGAGATGGTAACATTTGGTAGTTTTTGTATGTTCTTGTGCAGGGTATCCAATGATCCAGAACTTTACCATAAGGTTGCCGGTGTACTGGTTGAATCAAATGGTGACAAGTTACTAGGTCAGTGGAAGTATCTCCCTATTTTTCGTGTGCTCTTTGTATGTCTTGTTGTCTTATCACCAAGAAAATGTTCTGTTTCTGACTGTAGAGTTGTCACCGGATAGAAAATTTCCACAAGAGGATTTTGCACCATACTCAAATGTCAGCCATGATTGGAATCCTGCTGTAAGTTTTAGGTTTTATTGGAATACTACCACCCTTCAAGAGTTTTTTTTACTTTTTTTCGGAAAGGAGATTAACCCTTCAATTGTTAAACGTGCTGTTCAGTTCAAAAAAATAGTTAAATGTGTAGTACCCCTTTAATGCAAAAGCTTTTATTGTGCTTCCAGTATACCTCTGTTAACGGTACAGTTTTACCTTGTAGGGGTCAGGTATTATGTGGAACAGATATGATTTTCCCGTGTTTCTACTTTCAGAGGAGAGCACGCAGACTATGCGAAAGGTATTCCATCTGCTTTTATTTATTTCAAAATTAACCAAAAGTTACAAGCCTATATAATTGGGCATTGCTGTTGATAACAGATTGCGGACAAGAATGAGAAGTCTAACAATGGATATCAAGCAAATGTAGCGGAATTTGACCTTGTTATGCAGGTTCGGAGTTTTTTCTGGCCATTTCTCTTTACTTCTATCAGTCCATGTTTATTTATTGATAATAGAAGTATTGTCAGTGATGCATGTATTGTATACTTCTAAAATTGCATGAACCACAGACAACTAAAGCTGAAACAAATGGTTCAGAGTCCTGCCTCAAAGAGCAGTCGTGCTTGCCCTTAGGAGGACAGAGGTCGGTACTTCCTTTCTTGCATAAGGCATCCTGCTCTTATGTTCACAATTTTATGCATATAGTAGAGTTCCAAGATGTCTACCTCACATGTTGTTTTATCTTCTCTTTTTACGTCAACTTATGATCCTCGTGTTTGAAGGGCAGTGTGTGGGCTTCGTTACCACCAATGAGCAATGCATCAGCAGAGCATCAGAAACCAATAATAATGGTCGTTGCATCCCAGGATTCTGCATCGTTCTTTAGGGACCGTAGTCTGGGTGCTGATTCTCCCATATCAGTAAGTAGTAGAGACACATGATTGTCTTGTTTGTATTTCTTATTTGCGTTACACAATAATATTAAATTTTACACAGGGATTGATTGCTTTGCTCACTGCTGTTGATGCTCTTTCTCACCTTCATGATCTAGGCAAACTCAAGAAACAGGTACTGTACGACCGAAAAATGCTTTATTAGTTGGTTCCATGTTATCACCGGTGTCCTGTACATCTCATCCGTCCATTTATATTCTTTGCTATATTGAGAGCATGCAGCTTTTGGTATCTTCCTCTACGTTCTTAGTTATGCATTGAATCAGTAGATTCAATGTGTTTGACATCTGATTAGGAACAAATTTGTGGTGAACTGGTGATTGGCTCCTAAGCCATCATGGTTCTTGTTCCTAACATCATCCCGTATGTATTGCAGCTTGTATTCGCTGCTTTTGATGGTGAAGCATGGGGTTATCTTGGTAGCAGAAAATTCTTACAAGAACTGGATGAAGGTGATGATTCTGTGAATGGCATTAACAGCTCAATGATTGAGCAGGTGAGTACCTGATTTGAGGGCACTAGCAATTGCGTCATCAAACTATGATATATGTTTCCATATAGACGAGTTTTCCTAGGGACATCTTTTTCATAAACTATGATATATGCGCATCGTCTATATGTTTCCATATAGATGAGTTTTCCTAGAGACATCTTTTTCACTCTTCATGCATTTCTGCATATTTTTGTTTATGGGATATAATGAATTTACATTGATGCAATGGATTTACTATATGTTTTTTAAGTCTCTTGAGTGCTATACTGCATTACTGCTATATCTTTCTGTTATTTCACAATTGTATACCTATCATGCTTAATTTTTGTAACAAGCTGTTTGTGAACATAATTCAGGTACTGGAGATTGGTTCAGTTGGCAAGGGCATAAGCCAAGGAGATACATTATTTTATGCACATGCTTCAAGGGTAATGATTCTTTGAATCACGCATGACGCAAATTAATATATTGCTAGGTAGTATGGCGATATTTTAGCTCACCATATTGGCTGTAGAGATTATAACTATATTTTTCTTGCTAATTGTTCTTGACATATTATGCAAACTGGTTTTCTAGATTCATGGCGGTGTTGTAGTGGTAAAAACTCATCTTGTAGTTGTTAAAATGTTGGATAAACAAATGCCTCTTTTGAGATACATGAGATCCGTGGGGCGTCGTTGTGCATGACTTTTTTTGCCTGTGATCCTTGTACTGTATTGGTTGAACAATATTTGTCAAATTTGTACCGAATATGTTTCTAAACATTACTCTATGAAGATATTTAGCTGTGAAGAGATCTGTCAGAGTAATTGTTGTTTCTTGAGTACAACACACTGGGAGTCCAATTGATAGCTGTGCTTGTACCTGTAATTGGGGTTCTATTTTCGAATTTGGGGGCTAGAAACAATAAGAAAAAGTTCCATCTTGTTCATATGTATCTTCTGCTTGTACAGAATTCATCAATTTCAAAGAAGATTTTAGATGGTCTCCAAAGTGGCAGTGATTCACTTGGCTCTGATAACGTCAAAGTAAAACCAGCAGCTTCATCAAACCCTGGTGTACCACCATCTTCATTGATGTCATTCATGAGAAAGGTAATAGCCATTGGCTTCATTAAACCCTGGGAATTTAACTTTCCAAATCTGATCTCTTTTTTTCCTTGCTATTCTCTTTGAGGACTGTTGTGTCATAGTCTGTTTTCTGTTGACCCATCCATGCAGAATACATCAACTTCAGGAGTTGTGTTAGAGGACTTCGATTCCCAGTTTTCCAATAGATTTTATCACAGCCATTTGGACAGCCCTGGTAAGTTGACCGTTCATAGATGTGGCCATTTGTCTCACCAAAGGTAGTTATGAATCTGTAATGTTTTTCTTTTTTCCCACAGCAAACATCAATTCCTCATCAATAGCAGCAGCTGCTGCTTTGGTTGCCAGGTCATTGTACATTCTTGCTACTGCTGATATGACCGTCGATCTCATGACACTGAACACTATAAAAGTGAATGTTACACTGGTAGAAGAATTGATTGGATGTCTACTGGCCTGTGATCCTGGTCTTTCTTGTGGCATCGCGAAGAGCTTCATTTCTCCAAGTAATGCCTGCCCAAGTCACTATGTCGGTGTTTTCCAGGACTCACCTTCTAGCACGCAGTTTCCTTCATATGCAGATGATACCTCCCGGTTCATATGGAACTTCTTGGCAGACAGAACTTCTACTTTGGCAAGCAATGTAAGCTCTTGTACTGGGAAGTGCAACAACGAAAGTGAAGTATGCGTAGGGGGAGAAGTGGAGGGTGGAGGCCGGTGCGTTGTATCGACAACAAGGTAAAATTTTCTGTTGTGGCACACATGCCCCTTCCGTTATGTAGAAATCAAATCAGCGCTGTGTGTCGATACATGAGCAGTTTAGTGATCATTAGGTGAAAACTTATAAACTGACGAAGTAAGGTGTCTATGATGCACCTAGTTTTGTGCGTCGTGCTCGGCTGCTACGAAAGAACAAGCTATGATACCGAATTACTCTCATTTTACTTGCTTGTGTTAGTTATCGACCGTGTAGCTAGCTTCAACCTTATGTCATTCTTATTTGGTCAACGTGTTGTTGCTTGTCTGAATTGCTGTACTTTTGGTCGCTTGTTTAGGTACGCCCCTGCCTATTCAACCAGGCTGAAGTTCGAGGACAACGCCTGGCACGTTCTACCGGCAAACTCTTCTGACCCCATGGGTGCCGCGGACCCCATATGGACCGAGAGCTACTGGAACACCATCAGCCTGAGGGTCTACGCGGTGCAGTCCACGACCTCCGACAGGCTCATCCTTCTCGCCGGGCTCGCCGTCACCGCGGCGTCGTACCTCGGGGTGGTCGTCGGCAGAGCATACATCTCGAAGATCACGAAGCGGGACTGAAAACATGACAGCGTGTATCATATAGAACTGACTTGGCAACTTTGTAGGGATGGACCGAGTATGGATGTAATTCTTGAGCGTAGCGATGCAGACTTCCACCAGAGCATATGCATATGTATTTGGCCTGGGTGGGTTGCCGTGCGGATGTTGTTGGTAGGTGCTGTAGATGCTTTGGTAATGTGCTTCGAGGAGGCTACTTGCATGTGCATAGTGGACGACAAGTGCATCATGTTGCGGTTTTTGTTGTGCACGTCTTCCGTGCGACTAAGACTTTGCCCGATCATTGTCTTGTCTCGTGAGATCATGGATGAGATGGTTTGCTGAAATCAAATGCCTCGTGTGTGAAGTTCTTATTCTGCACCGACCCTCGGATTCGCCATGTGCGTGCAAGGTGCAACATGCTTCGTGGGTTGGTTAAGACTTGAGAATGATAATCATGCGGAGTCGAGCTGCTTGGCGAGTCAACTAGCCAGAAATTTGAACCTGGTTTTAAGCAGCGAGGTGAGCTGTTACCTGTCAGATCGGAAATTCCGCTGTGTCCGTTCGTTCGCAAGGCGGCCGTGCCAGCTCGGGACAACCAAGCTCTCGATCCGGTGTGACGCGTCCACAACAAACAAGTAGTATCCGTCACGAAGCAAGTTTCAATCCGACCATGAATCCCGGTCAGGAGCCAACTCCTCTATGCCCTACCCAATCAACTTGCATATTATTACTTTGTCAGATACTCGAGTACTAATCAAGCAGCAGCATAGATAGATGGCATCGCCGTCACCGTGGCCGGAAAAGCTCCTCGGCCCCGTCGTCGCGGGCCTCCGCGCGACCTGCCGTTCGTGGCCCAGCGTTCCCTCGCCGCCGCCGCCGTGGTCCGAACTCCCACTGGACCTCCTAGGCCTCATCGTCGCCAGCCTCCCAGACCCGGCCGACCGCGCCCGCTTCAGCTCCGTGTGCCGTTCCTGGCGCTCGGCCCCCTACCCCGACACGCGGCAGCTACCATGGGTCGACGCAGTGTGCCGTTCCTGGTACTCCGTTTCGTCTCCCGGAACACTGCTACCTTCGATCAGCGTCGACCGCTTACCGATATCGTCTCCCCCGACCTCCCAACGCCAGCCACCACCATGGCGCCATATCTGGCGCTCGGTCTTCCCTCCGCGGCGGCAACACCCGTGGGTCGTGCTCCCGGGCGGCTTCTTCCTCGAAGACCTCCCTCCGGGGTTATCCGACGTCTGGCCGGAACCGATCGCCTCCTTCCCCAAGAATCTGCGATGCGTGGGCTCCACCGACAGCTGGCTCGCCCTCGACTGCATGGACGGCGAGGGAAGGCATGCCTACTTCTTGCACAATCCTTTCTCAAGGGCAACCGTGCCGCTCCCGGAGCTGGACGCCGTCATCGGCGATGTCTCCGAGTTGTTTGAGATCCGCAAGGTGCTCATGCGATCAACCCCTGATGACCTCATCGTGGTTATGACCAACAACCTGGATCTCCCTATATTTTCAATGCAGCGAGGGAAAGGTGTGTTGTTACCACAGCCGGAAACAGCTCCCATCGTCGACATTGCCTTTCTTAGAGATAAACTCTACGGACTCACCATGGATGAACTTATCTCCCTCCCCATCACCTTTGATGATGTCCACGACATACCCATGGCTACTAGTATTGAGCAGATCATATGGAGCAACATTGATGATGCCGATGTAGCAGGCAATGATGAGGACGAGGATGATAACAACACAGACGATGAGGGTGACAAGCAAAACATTGGTGAGGTTGGTAATGATAATGATGAGCTTCTTCTTAGCGAAGAGGACAAATCCAAACGTCGTAATCACATCAAATTGATGTTGAAAGCTAGGGATGGCATGCTAGGCCCCGGCCTCCGGTGTGAAGCCAACTATATGATCTTTCGGTACTTGGTCGAGTCATGTGGGAAGCTTTTCATGGTGATTCGAGAAGCGCATAGTGTGAGATTCACTTACAAGGTGGAGCTTCTCGTGCTCGATGTTAATGCAACTGCATGGCTTCCGGTCTCCGGCGGCGGGCTAGGTGGCCATACGTTTTTTATCAGCAAACCCTTCAGCAAGTCTGTTTTAGCTCATGGGGAGGTAGAACCAGATGCTATTTATTTTGCCGATTTTGGTGGTGAAGTCTTTTGTGTGAAATCCTCCGAGGCGAGACACATTGGTCATTTTCGGAGGGAGAAATTTCTTGACTTCAATACCACAACATGGATCTTTCCTCCATACTGAATCAGTTTATGCATGCATCAGGGCGAACTGAGCGTAGCTCATAAGGCTAGGTTACTTGTGGTGAACCAGCCCATCAGGTTCAAGTACTAGACTTAACACTGATATTTACATTTTTTTTCCTTCGACTATAAAGCATATGTGGTGAATTTGTCAATCTCAAAATGTTGTGTCGACTCAGTATCTCGGACATGCTCATAAGGGTAGGATGTGTGTGTGCGCGAGTGCATGTACATGTACGTGTATGTGAGCATCTGGGCGATTATGTTGTGTTAAAAAAAATGTGTTAGGTACTTTTTGCTTTAGAAAAGCCATATTTTTGCCTCACTAGGTACATGCAGAGTTTTATGTAGTGGATTTTGATTTTCTTTTAGGGTGTCACCGTCGATTCAACTGTGTGTCTTTTGTCTATTACAATGTGTCAAATATGGTTTATACTTTATATTATGGCATTCAAACGTTGGATACAACCAAATATAGTACTAACTTAATCCGGTGACAAAACATGACTCTAAATAACGGGAAAACAATAGACTATATGCCCCCACATTCTCAACGAAGCCAAAATTAAACTTGCTATCGTTGCACCACCATAGCTGTTTTGTCAGCAAAATTAAACTACAGCTATGGCTAGGTGGCCAGACATTTTTTTATCAGCAAACCCTTCAGCAAGTCTATTTTCACTCGTGGGGAAGTGGAACCAGATGCTATTTATTTTGTTGATTTTGATGGTGAAGTCTTCTGCATGAAATCCTCACAGGCGAGACACATTGGTCATTTTCGGAGAGAGAGATTCCTTGACTTAAATACCACAACGTGGATCTTTCGTCCACATTCAACCAGTTTATGCATTAGAGGTGAATTGAGCGTAGCTCATAAGGTTATGTTTCTTGTGGTGAACCAACCCAACAGGGTACAAGTCGTAATGATGCTCGCATTTTTTAGATTTATTTTAGGTTTTTCGGTGATGTTCGTTCACTGGGAAGGCGCTTGGAGCAGGTTACGTGTGTTTGTGTGTGTGTATGCTGCATGTGGATGGCTGCCCACTGCATCCGTGAAGATGAGTACGGCCAGTGTAGTTTTTATTGTGCACATCTTCCTTGCAACTTTACGGGTAATGCCCCAATATTTCTTTGTAGTCTTGATCTCGATCTTGATGAGACCATGAGATGGTTTACCAGAAACAAATGTCTCGTGCATTGAGTTGGTCTTGCCAGGCACTGATCCTCCGATTCGCCATGTGCGAGCAACATGTTTCTTGACTTACGATTGCAAACCATGTGTCTCCGGTGCTTATTAGCTCTTACAGACGAAGGGGCGTTAAACTTTGAATAAAATAGCAACCTTTTTCCCCTAAAAAAAGACTGCAAAGCATAATCGTGCCTGATTATCTGTTTTTTCTTGTTGATCAAGTTGCAAACTTCTTTGTACATACAAATAGTATAACATGGCTAAATGTGCAAGAACAACCGTTTTTAAATATGAATTAAGCAGCACGAATCCAACTTGTTTTTAAGTGACGGGCGAACAAGAGAAGGGGCAGATCATTCAGTCAAAAAAAAAAAGGGCAGATCATAGATTTCGCTGTGTTTGCGAGGCGACTGTTTAATGCCAGCTCGGGACAAACGAAGCTTTCTATCCGGCGTGACGTGTTCTTCACAGCAAATAAGTAGGTATCCGTCACGAGTACTTAGCTCGTCGCTGTCCTATCAAGTTTCAATTCGACCATGGGTCCTTGACTCGCATAGATAGATGACATTGCCGTCATCGTGGCCTGAAAACCTCCTCGCTCCCATCGTCGCCGGCCCCCGAGCGACGTGTAGTTCATGGGGCGCCGTCCCCTCGCCGCCGCCGCCGCCGTGGTCTGAACTCCCACATGACCTGCTAGGCCTCATTGTCGCGGGCCTCCCGGACCCGGCCGATCGCGCCCGCTTCAGCTCCGTGTGTCGTTCCTGGCGCTCGGTCCCCTGCCCCTACCAACGACAACTACCGTGGATCGACGCAGTCTGCCGTTCTCCGGGCTGAAACCGACCACCTCTTTCCCAGAGAACCTGCGATGCATTGGCTCCACCGACAGTTGGCTCGCCCTCGACTGGACGCACGGCGAGGAAAGGCATGCCTACTTCCTGCACAATCCTTTCTCGAGGGAAACCGTGCCGCTCCCGGAGCTGGACGCCGTCATCGGTGATGTCTCCGAGTTTTTCATGATCCGCAAGGTGCTCATGCGATCGACCCCAGATGACCCCATCGTAGTTATGACTTATGACCAAGAACAGGGATCTCTCTATATTTTCAATCCAGCGAGGGAAGGGTGCGCTTTTACCACAGCCGCAAATGAACGGGGGCGTCATCATCGACGTTGCATTTCTTGGAGACAAACTCTGGGGAATCACCATGGACGGAGAGCTTATCTGGCTCCCTATCACCTTTGACGATCTCGACGGCATACCCATGGCCACTAGTATTGAGCAGGTCATCTGGAGCAACATTGATAACGCCGATGCAGCAGACGATGATGAGGACGAGGACGGAAACAACAAATGCTATGTGCGTGACGGGCAAAACAATGGTGAGGCTGAGAAAGATAGCGATGAGCTTCTTAGCGATGAGGGCAGAGCCAAACGTCCTAATCACATCATGATGTTAAAAGCTAGGGATGGCATGGTAGGCCACGGCATCCAAGTTGAAGTCGACTCTATGATCTTTCGGTACTTGGTCGAGTCATGCGGGAAGCTTCTCATGGTGATTCGAGAAGCAAATATGAGATTCACTTGCAAGGTGGAGGTTTTCGTGGTCGATTTCAATGCAGGTGCATGGGTTCCGATCTCTGAAGGTGGGCTAGGTGGCCAAACGCTTTTCATCAGCAAACTCTTCAGCAAGTCTGTTTTAGCCCGTGGGGAGGTAGAACCAAATGCTATTTGTTTTGTTGATTTTGGTGAAGTCTTCTGCATGAAATCCTCCCAGGCGAGACGCATTGGTCATTTCCGGAGGGAAACAATTTCTTCTCTTCAATACCACAACGTGGATCTTTCCTCCACACTGAACAAGTTTATGCATTAGGAGCGAACTGAGCATAACTCATAAGGTTATGTTTCTTGTGGTGAACCAGCCCACTAGGGTTCAAGTCCTAAATTTAGCACCAATACTTGCATTCTTACTTTCAACTATGAAGCGTCTATGTTGACTTTGTCAATCTTAAGATATTGTGTCGGCTCAGTATCTCGGAGGTGCTCATAGGGTATGATGTGTGTGTGGGGGGTGTGTGCGCGCGCGCATTCGTAGGAGTGAGTGTATGTAAATGTATGTATGTGTATGTGAGCAGCTACGCGATTAGGCTGTCACCGCCAATTCAATTGCGTGTCTTTTGTCTGTTACAATCGTGTCAAACACGGTTTATACTTCATATTATGGCATTCAAAAAACGTTGGATACAACCAAGTATAGTATAACTTAATCCATTGACAAGAAAAAGGTACAGCGATCTCCATGGCTTGGAGAGGATGGCTAGCTCGGGCTCTGGCGACTCCCCTGGCGCCCCCGCGGGCGCCTCCGCCGCCCCCGTCTCCGCGCCGCCGGCGCCCCTCCCCGCCCCCTCCCCGCCGGCCCTTCCAAGCCCGGCCCCGCCGCTGACCTCCTCGCCGGTCGCCCTCCCGTTCTCCGCCCCGGCGGTCCCCTTCCGCTGGGCGGATTGCGCTGATGACG